AGAGGGGAATGTCCACAGGTGATAAAATGTAACCGGTAAAATGTAGAGAGGTTACCTGGGGTTACTGGATGGCATGTAGTTTATAATGTGATGTAATTCCAAGTATTGGGATAAGAAATATAAAGCTTGCCAACACATCTCTACCAATCCCACAACAGAATCATCACTAGACCTGGATCTTACACCTGCACCTCCAGAAATGTAATACATCTAATCCAGTGCACTGAATGCCCTGATGGAAACTACATAGGAAAAACCAAACAACTGCATACCAGAACAAATGCACACTGAAAATCTATCAAATAAAAATACCCAATTACCTGTGGGTGCATATTTCTCACAAGACAACCACTCTCTCTCCAATCTCTCAGTTTTAATCCTCAAAGGGAATTTATAGAATATCTTTCCTAGATGAGCCTACAAGCTTCACTTCATAAAATCTACCAGATACAAAGAATCATGGACTAAATGTAGACACTGGATTTATGGCACATTACAACCTGCCTGCCATCCAATAACCCCAAGTAACCTCCCTACATTTTACCAGTTAACATCTCATCACCTGTGGACATTCTCCTCTTTTATTTTCCCCCCCTCACCTACCTGTCTTACACCCATTAACTCCTATCCCCTCCAAACTTCCCTGCCATGCATTTGCATTTTCATAGACTTGCATTTGGCATATTGGTTTAAGTTTCTATTTGACCCCTGAGAGAAAACCAGCAGACTCTCCCTATGCCTGAAGGATACCTGTGCCCAAGAGCTTTCAAAGAACAGTTTTTCCAACTATTCAGTTGGTCTAATAAAAGATATCACATTTACCCAAATAATCTTGTCTGCCTATGTGCTTAGATCAATATGGCTACAACCAACACCCCTGAAATATGATTGTTTCACTGGCATGCAAGGTAAAGATTATACACAGTGGCACTAGCTAGACTTGAATAAATATTAATTTGCATATTTCCATCCTTGGACATTGGTACTATATAGACTTGTGTTATACCCAGGTAAGGCAAAATGAATACCTGTAAATAGTTGGAGTTCTAAACATACAATCTGACAGTAACGAATGAAATATAAAAGCCTAGGGAAAATAATCTAATGAACCAGTAATTTTATATATGGAGTATATAATAAAAGCTATTGAGTTTCATAAAACATTTTTCATGAAGGAAGAATGTTTATTGCCATACTACCCAAGATTAAAACAATTAACCATATATTTATTATTCAGTCAGACTTCTGTTAAATTAAAATCTGCATTTGCATCACAGCAAGAGGGACTAGGGAGAGGAACATTAATATATTTATCCAGTCTACTTATTATGGAAAAGTGCTAGGAATTTTTCAGTAATTCTTATACTACCATGTAATATGTTTTACTAGGTTGCTTTAAATGAGGAAATGTTAAGGAAAATGAAGTTCACTAGACTACAACATACAGGTTTAACATTATACAGAACAAATGTTACTAGATACTTACAATGTGCAAGAGCTTTAGCACATCCACAAACCTGTTTGAAAAGCAACAAAAAGCAAACCATTATGTTTGAACTATTGTATTGAAATAAATCAAAATAAGTATCAAGTTCAGAACTGACACTTACACTTTTTCTGAGCTCATGATCTCTTTAGCGATATGGTAAACTTTTGTTTTCTTTTCAGCTGCCTTACTCTGCAAATAAAATGATAACATTATTCTGTGTTCACAACACACATGCAACAAAGATCAGTTTCAAGCAAGTAATCTAATGTTTTTACCCCCCACTCCCAAATTTCCTACTAAAACAATTTGCAGCATAAAGGCCATGGGTGGGAAACCAACACTATAAGCCATGCAAGCTACGGCACAAAGATGGACCCTGAATTTTCCTGGAGCCCCAAAGAAGTTGCATAAGTGAAGATACTCGTTTGCACAAAGCAATTTATGGGATTAGGGCCAAAATTTTAACATGGTGCAGGATGTAGGTATAGTAAACAAATAGATGGGAAGGGCACAATGACAGAAATATGTTTATATGCAACCTAATTGTGTGTGCCATATAAAAAAAAAAGAAATTAGCAGTTCTAGTTTGCCAAGTGCCAGTCCCAGTTACTGGCTGGGACTATATCTATTATATATTCAGGATTAATTAAAATAGGGTGTGGAGGAAGAAGTGATATGGATTAATACATCATAAATACTCAGATATATAACCTACAGAACAAACAGCCAACTGAAGTTTTGGTGGAAACATATTCACTGTTGCAATGAAGTACAGATAATAAATTAATTTTAACCTTAGATTTCATTACACTCATATACATTTGTTATATATTTTAAAAATAAGATGGCAATATTATTTCTTTTTTTTTTTCCTGCTTCTGCACTATTCCAAAGAGAAGACAGTAATGTGATTATCATGCTGTACATTTTTATTCCAGGCTATGTACTTTCAACGTCATATGGCATTGAAACCATATATTACACATTTATTATTCTGGTGTCACAAGGCATTACATAATTCAATAAGCAAGCAGGAGAGATAGAACAGGGGATTCACAACCAGTGTCATGGCACCCTGGGATACTAGGGGATCCTTTTCAGAGTGAGGAGATAAAGAGACAAGCTAGGTGTGAGGAGATAAATGGAGGTTCAGGCTCCAGCCTGCCTGGCTGCTCCTCAGCCTGCTGCCTAGCCCCTCTGCAAAGAGGTTAGCATTATAATACATAAATTAGTTTTTGAAATGGGGTGCTGCCCAATTCATAAAGCTATGGAGGGGTGCCTTGAGTCTAAAAAGGTTGAGAACCACTGAGATAACAGGTAACAAAACTGTGACTATCTCAGGGGTTAAATTTTGAACCGCTAAGCAATTTATGAAAGTTACAACGTGCAGGTCTACACTTTGCCCTATAGCAACACTGTTACTGTGCCATGCTTTAGTACTTTTTTTTGGAAGTACCAAAGCAAGGTGCAGTAACCACCTGTACTGCACCGTATGTGCAGCACACGGTTATTTTTTGCAACTATTTTGCCATAGCAGCACACTATAATGGGGGAGCATGCCACTATGGTGAAGTAACTGCTGGTCACGTGCAGACACCCATGGGTGCTATGTCGTTGTACAGCATTGCTATGGCGACAGAGTCACGTTTAGATGTGCCCAATGCAGATGATGTGGTTCAACATCCTGTATAACACAATTCTTTCTCCAGGTAAAAAGCAACTGGAAGCTTTATTACTATGTTAGGGACTGAGAGTATACAATTCAGTTAAAAATAGTCTGCAGGGCTGTGAAATAGGAGCTACATTATCAGGAGCAGCTAACTGGCAGCTAAATTGCAGAAGAAAGGCTAGCTTGATTAGTGGAACATTAAAACCATTAAAAAGGAGGGTCGTTAACACCTGCGGAATGAATTTAGAAGAAATCAGGTAGATTTTCAGGAAGTCTGTTTGTGTTCTCACTGCTGCCTGACTAGAAATGCTGCTGCTGCCAGGCAGCTGGTTTCAGGGGGGCCCAGAAATCAAAGGGGCATCCAACTACACCAGTGCGCTCCCCCTGGCTCCACCCTTCATTGGAATCAATAGCATTGTACGTAGACCATTGTTCCACAGGTATAAACTATCTGAACACTACCACCTCATGCCTAGCTCTCCTTTAAACAGAAACCAGCATATAAAATTCTTGAGAGTTTAAAATCGAATTGTAGCATCCATGATACTGATTGGTAGGCCTAAAAATTAAATACCCTTTGAAAGAAGACATTAAGGCTCTGGATAGATGTAATGCTTGAAGTGCTCCAAACAGCAAGCATGCAGTCATTCACAGCCAAATAAATGCTTCAAAACTGGCTGTAATACTTCAAAGTGATCCTTAAAAAAAAATGAGGAACATCTTTGCAGTGCTTTTTTTTTTTTTTAAACACTTCCTGGAATGTCTGGACAGTCAGAGTGCAACAGGAGAGCTGATGGGTCCCTTGGCATCCCACAGTGCTCTGCCTTTCCCCCCGCCTACAGGGGGAGGGGATGAAGCCAGGCCAGGTGGACAGCCAGTGAGTGCTGTCCTGTGCACTCTGTCATCCTCAGCAATCTCATGCAAGGAATCATTCAAGGAATTCCTTTCTCCAACACCAGGGCTGGAGAGAAGTAACCTGACCTGCGTCTAATCTCCTGGTTTGGTAGGAGACAAAAGAGCAGTAGAGACTAAACAGGATCTCCCAGTTCTAGTGGGAAGCATACTGCCATCCTTAGCAATCTCTGGAGTCCAAGACCCATGCAACTGAATCCGTCTCTTCAGCTCCGGGGTTGGAGAGTATGACTCTGTGTATGGCACTTTATGCTTGGAACTGGGAGACCAGAGCCAGAGTGCACAAGGAAGCATGCATCGGCTGTCAATCCGACTCTTCCTCCCTACTGCCTGGGTTTGGAGGCACACCTAAAGGACCAAGCAACACTTTTGTCACACCCCCCTGGCCGAAGAGCACATCACTGCATGCCACTACAACGATTCAAAAGCACTCTGGCAGGGGCTGAATGTTTGTCCATATCCTGAAGCATTCCGAATTTGAAGCACACCAAACCAGAGCAGAATTTGGAGCGTTTCAAATGTACATCTGTCCATGGCCTAAGAGTGAAATTCTAGGTCTGTCTGCCATTGATACAAGTTATATGTGTATTTGCCATAAGTCCAGCTCATCGTTAAACCTACATTAATTCAGACAAGACGATGGTACAAAACCTTCTGTGTCTTGAAGGAAAAGAGAATCAAAGCATGTGTAGCCAACACTAGGTAACTAACAAATGAAATATATTTTTTTTTAAATGAAGCAACTGTAAAATACCAATGCAAATTAAAGTTCAAAATAAGATATCACTGCCCCTCATTTCTGACCCCATTTGGAATAAAGCTTCTCATGGCAACTAATGCTGAAATCCCCCTTGGTGCTTTTTTAGTCAAGCACAGGATTCAAAGTTTTGACTCTTGATTTCTCTCAACTGAAAACTAAGGCATTCTTCCTCAGTCACTGTATTTGAAGAAACATTTAGTGTACCCACTATATTGGATAAAAAGCATAAACTTAAGTCTGGATGTCTGCAAAGAAAAACAAAACAAAAGAAAAACAAAAATAACTAAACAGCTGATCACCGATGTAAAGATTGTTTCCTTTTCCTCTACAGCTGCAAAAATTGTGAGCAAAATTTTAGGCAAGGAGCAGATTGCTAGTAAAGTTGATCTCCAGCTGTCAGATCCACGTGCCATAGGCCAGCTGAAGCAAGTTAAAAAACAGATGGTTCAGCCACCCGTTCTGAGCTGCACCACAGCCAACTAACATTCAATGAAATATGAGAAGTTTCATAACAAAGATGTGCTCCAACTCTGCATTCCTAGAAATATCTCTCAATCTTTTGCAAAAGATTTTTCACCGAGAGGAGTTAGTTTATACAAATGCACATAATTGTAATCCTTTCCATCAAAACAGACTGTTCCTCTTTCTCCCTTCCCATTTATCCAGAGAAATGTTGATTCCCTGAAATCAGAGTTCAGAGCACTAGGAGGAAATTCAAACTTGTTACAAGGTTTTACCTAAACTTTGTTCTTCTAACAACATAAAATCTGTATCAATCCTGTCCCATAATATTCCACTGTGGAGCAAAGGGATAGTTCACTTGGAAGGAGGTGAAGAAACAGTAATCCCAGCAGGTCTGAAGGCAAACAGACTACACTAGAAGGCTGAAGGGATCTTCTAATGCTTATGAGAGAAGATAAGGGGCATCCTCAGAAAGGTGAGAGATGGACAATACCCCAGATGCTCATTTGATTTAAAGAGAGAGTATTATAATACTAGAACACCTTTGGCTTGAAGGAGGAACAGGCGAGACATACATGGGACTGAAGTGCCGGGAGAAGTCTTCTAAACTATCCTATCCAGTACATAGCGAAGCTAGGAGAGACCAGGCCCTTGATGCAAATTAGTGGCTTACAACTCACTAGGACACTTAAGGCAGAACAGGCCCACTAGAATGTCTACAAATAAAATGCCTCCAAAAAGTTCTAACAAATCCACAAAATAAACATTGTACTGCACCTGTATGAAAATAGTGAATTGAGATGTTTAAATGGATAATATTCCAGCAAAATAAACTCAGTAGACAAGTAAAGACCTCATTAATGTCATCTGCTTCATGATGAGTAGATACAAGCAAGAAAGGCTATGACTGAGGGCCAAGGCTTGCTGTTAGAACCAAGAAATAGGGTTTCAACACTAATTCCAGTACAGGTAGCTGGTGTTTCAAGCTACAGGAAAGCACGAGATACAAACCAGTTAAGAGGCAGGATGCTTTATTCCCTCAGTGCCAGAAAGACAGTGTCTACACTACACATGCAGCAAAAACAGTTAACTTATTTGAAAAATACATGTGGCAGGACATACTAATTTAAGTGTTGCCTTGAAAAACAGAAGTTGTTATTAAAAAGTAGCCATTTTCTTTAACACAGAGCTGAAACACTGCTACACTGTAATAGTTTTATTTACCCCTACCCCTTCAAACTGCTGAGCTGCTTTTGGACAGGCCATAGCAGGTCTAGCCCCCCATTCACTGGTTCCCCCAATCTTGGTCAGCAGTTTCATGTGTTTTCCAGTGCACCAAGAAGAATCCTGAAGGCCCATGAAATTGATATTTTATTAATGGTGCAATTTGATACATGCAAATAAAGCCAGTCAAGCCTGCCTGTTTCACACAGACTTAAAGAGGTATTAAGAATGAACTAATGGACCAGGCAGTGCACACTTTCATGACCTTAAGAAGAAAGCACATTTTAACACAAAGAGACTTGCAAATCCAGAGCAAATTTGAAGTTTTAGAAAGATAAATATTGCTAAGTTATCAAAAGGAAAAAAAAAGAAGAGAAAATAAAAAATCCTTATATTTAACAGAAATATATTTTTAAAGCATCTTATGCAGAGATATCAAACAAAGCCTTTTCAAGCTCTGGGAAACTAAAAAAAAAAAAGTGAATAGAGATAGTTTAAAAAATCATAGACACCTGCTTATCTTGAGGATCAAGTTCCCCTTTGCTGGAATCAGAGTTCGTGTCGTCATCTTCATCAGAGCTGTTCATGATCTCATCATCTGACTGAAGATCTCCCATTGCCACACTGGGATGATCATGATGTTCTTCTGAGGGCCTGCAAGAAGATATTCATAGTGGTTTTATAACAGCATAATTTTAGACCAATTTTTATTTGAAGAATTCTCCATTATCATAGCAACTGGCAGGGGCAGTTTCAGAGAGGTGCACTGGTGCATTTGCACCCCCCCATTTGATTTCTCCTCCATTCAAAGTTTAAAAAAAACCCCTGCTTGGCAGTGGTGCAAAAGCATCAATTGAATTAACAACTCATTAAATCTACCAGATTCCTTCTCAACTCTTCATTCCATAGGTGTTAATGACTCTTTCTCCTTTTTAAAGGTCTTGAGGTTCTACTAATTAAGCTAGCCTTTTCCTGCAATTCTGCTGCCAATTAGCTGCTCCTACTAATGTAGTCCTAGCTCATAGCCAGGGATCCTGGTTTTCCCTGAGAAAAAAAATAAATCACAAGTTCTCTGATAAAAAACCCCCCTAAAATCCATGATAAAAATTAAAGGCCCTCCATGGGCCCCCCTACCCCCCGGCCTTTCTAGTGCCCCCCCTCCCACAGATTGAGAATGGGGGAGGAGTGCATCTCTGTGCCTGCTCTCAGGAGGGAGTCAGGGGGCGAGGGCAGCAGTGCCCCTCTGTGGGCCACACACATGCTGCCTGGCCAGGGAGAGGGGAAGCCCACCCAGCCACTGTGGGGGAAGCTGACTGGGGGCTGAGAGAGTGAGGATGTGTTGGGGGAAGACATGGAGTACCTGCCAGCCAGCAGGCACTGCTGGTGGGGGTTTCCCCAACACTTTCTCTTCCCTCATCCTGGGCAGGCA